TACAGTCATACAGTCAGCTGCAGTCCAGAAGCCACACTGCCATGATCTTCCCTGTGCTTATAATGACAAGCCTGATGCCTGCTTTCGGTTGCAATGTCCTGGCACAACCGCGTATCTTACTTTTGAGTCCTGGCCTGCAGGATTCCCCAAAACATTCAGAAAATGTATGTGCACAGCTATCTAATCCACAGTTCAAAAGAAGGAGCAGCTCAGGACAGGGAATTATTTTATTAATTTAGACAAACTCATAGCATAGTACCTTTTGGAAAAAAAGTGTTTTAATTATTAATGCACATATTAATGCACTGATGAGTAACTTAAGATTTAGGCATAATTGCAAACAGCTCAGTGAGCTCATAATTTTATCAAATGCATCCTTGATTTGCAAAAGCTTTGTCGTCATCTTACAGTCGCACCTACTGTTGAGTTTTGCTTTGGTTTGTTTTTTTGACAAGGCTCTCTGTCAAAGTAAGATAAATGTCCTTGAAGTTGGACTGCTTCATCTCTCCTTTGCATTCCTGTGACTACATTTCACACAATGGAGTTTTGCTTGCACATATACCTAGATTTGTTTCCCTGCACGGTCAGAAATAGACCTATTTATTCTTATGAGTCAGTGCGCTCTGGGATATTTTCCCTGATGTCTTGGAAAGGGCATTTGAGCAATTAGCGTGAAATAACCAAGTAATTCCCTCAGCGTTTTATTAATTAATGGGCAATCTGGTATTTCCAGTCCTTTGTCTTCATTCGCTTACCAGATGAGAATGATCTTATGCCAAAAAGTATTACTTTAATGAAAACTGACTGCAAGCTCTTCTTGGACTGAACTCCCTTTCTCTCTTCTTGGCTCTGACCTGGGGTTATTCTCTTAGGGGGGAAAAAAGGGGGGGAAAAAACCAACAGAGCTGCCACATCAGACGCAGACCTACTATGCAAGCACAGCTTAGTGGGCACATACAGAGTAGCTCTGACAGGCTGGGGGCATACTGGAGAGAAAGAAACCCCACAGAAAACATTAAGTCCGGTTAAAAGAAGTCAAGACCCTCCAGAAAATGTTCTGATGGCAGCATTGCGCCAATCACTAGGGGATGTAAACAGCCTTGTGTGTTGCCCCTGGTGTAAACTGCGTGTCCTAGTTTTCTGAGAGCTCTGCCCTTTTTGTGATTGACTGTACAGTTAATACTACAATGACACTAGAAGTAAGTACTGGACTAAGAGTCTTGGACATGAACTTTTGATAGTGATCCACCCAGCTGCCTAAATTTCTGCTGTGGAAAATTTGTATTTTCAAGGTAGAAATAGCATTTTGATAGCCTTAGTATTACACTACAAAGTCTCTACTATGAAATTTTTATTATTAAAATATTTTAGTCAGCATTTTGCTAACAAAATCATAATGAAATTGAAGAAAATTGATCACCAATCTTACGTTATTATTCTTGGCTCTCGGCTTTTGGGATCGAGAAAGTAAGGAGTTATGGAAGCCTGGAGTTCTATTTACTTATTCTCTCTGCTTTCTTCCTCTTTGCTTCTTTTCAGCTTTTCCTTTGCAATCACAAGAACTGGAAACATGATTTTTATGAAAACTGAAATTCTTAATGATTTCTTGATATTTAGGGCTTGAGCTTGAAGGAAAACACAAGAGACTAAGAAAGTAGTCAATGATGTTGAAATGCACAATCAGCTATTTTTCAGTATTTAGGCAACCACATGAATAATGAAGAACAGGAAATGAAAAGGTTTCCAAATGCAGTGAAAACAACCATTCACTAAAATTACATATTAATATTCTGTCTTTCCAGTATTCCGTTATCTTTTTCAGTAAAACAATGTGCTGCCTTTGCTTAAAAGCAAGCTAATCATTAGGCAGCAGCAGTTCAGTTTTGAAGCTCAATGTACTGTTTAATCAATACAAAAAAAATTAATATATTTATTTAATATATCTATCTCATTGAAGCAGGGAGACAAAGTCGACTTTAGAAAAATGTATAAATGCAAGCAAATAAAGGAATGAATCTGATCTGATTTTAGATGCATATAGTGAACACTATTTTGTGATAAATAATGAGAAAATAACCTATAAAAGAAATGCAGACATTTACCTAACTTTACCACTAAGGCTTTATCCAGCTTCCGAATGATAAGTAATGTCACCAAATAAGCATTTCCTTACCACGACTTTGATTATATATTTTGATCAGCATTCTGTGTTCAGTTAGATCCTTCCTGGCTCTGTTTATCACTCATAGGAAGGCTGCATGGGTAATTAAAATATGCTCATTTTATCCAGTAGAGGATGTTCTCCTGAAGCTCCACATCCATATGGTGTTTCAGTGGTGTCTGTATGACTAAACATACAGATAAAGGCTTGTGTCTGTCACCTGCATGTCCCAGGTTTCCTGATCTTTATTTTGTCAGCTTTGCATCTGTATTGGAGCATGTGAGTAAAAGAGAATTGGAATATGGTACTTTGGAACTCAGTGTGTTTGCTGACTGTAATGAAAGTTAATTTTTAAAAGAGAAAGAAATCAAACTGATTTGATCTATGATCTACTTTAGAACGACTGTAGTCAGCAAGACAGAGTTAAACCAAAATCACACAGTACGAGTGTGATGGAAAAAGCTCAGTCATGTTTCTGTATACTCCTCATTATACGACACTGAGTATAGAGCAAATGTTTCTACAGAATTTTTCCCATGTTGTCAGATGTTCTCTGTAATGGATACAAAAATGTTACTAGGTTTCATAATATTTTCTGATTAATGCATTTTTAAGCTTAGTCCTAGAAACTTCAATGGATATTTGTGTTACACAATTGTAAGGGTAAGGCGGGGGCACTGCCTGGACTCCCAGCAGGGACAGATACACAAACACAAGGCACCCTAGGGTCGATACTGAGCGTTTATTACCTCTGCGTCTGAGCAGGGGTTCCCTAGAGATTTCCCAGTCGAGGTAATAATAGAGCAGGAGAACCCCTAGCACCGCTGAGCGTCGAGCCTTGGCGAGGAATTCTAGGGGGAGCGCTATATGAGCTTTTTATGGACTACACACATACGCAGTAAGCATATTGAGCTCATCGCTACTTCCAGTTCAAAGCCCAGGTGCAGCGCCACACTGGCACTGGCTCAGCCACGTGACTATGGGTCAACATGGCCTGTTGATGCTCCTTTTCCCACGGAACGATCTGGCTAGCTTCCGTCGCCTGTCTCCTCAACATTCTTCTGCGTTTTCCCATACAAGGAATATATGTTACTTGCTCCCTAATTCAGTACAGAGCTTTGTAAGGTTACCTGAATAGAAGAAGGCGTATACACTGCTGGCTAACAATTCAAATCATTTGGACCAAACCTCTAATCTCTGAAAGTCAAAATTACAAGCTGAATAGCTTTTTGGTTGCTAAATACATACAGATTGGGCTGCATTGGCTTCATTTTTTTATAAGAGATGTCTTCCATATTTGTATGAGTGTTTACTGGCTTAGCATATTTTCATATCTATTCAGTTATTTGTATCTAAATGTATTTTGTGCATACAGGTGTTAGTTAATCACCATTTATCTATCGGTTTAAAATGCATCAATGAACTTTAGGGTTGATTAATCACCTAATAAATAATTTACAATAAATAATTATGGTATTCAGCTTTTAGAAAATCCATAAGACATTATTTTTATGCAACTTATTTTATTGCATAATTAACAGATTTGGCTTATAGACTTCGTTCCATTCACACACTAAATTTGTCAAATTATTTATTGTGTTTGGAGGACACATAATTCTGGGCTGGACATATCGCACACTGGCACTTTAGGTAAGGATTAGGTTATCATCCTGGCTGGAGGAAATGATTAAAGATGCAGTATAACGGAGATCATGACTATGGAATAGATTGGGCAAAAATATATACGGTCCATTAGAGAGCAAGAAGAACATGCAGCAAATGGCTAGTAGTGAGGGTCAAGAATTTCTCGGTGCTAACAGTCACAAAGGTTAGTAAGAGCAAAAGAGCAGGAGCGAGAACTGGTTAGGAGCATTGGGAGGAAGCTTTGTATTATTCACAACTTGGTAAACAAAATCACTGTTCTGAAGGAGGAAAAGACATTAAGAAAATGCTCATAGGGGTCAAGCTTACTTGTCTGAGGCAGAAAAAAAAGGAAATTGGAACAAAACAGTTAAATTACTACTTGTCCTCATTTGCAGTCCTCATATGTACGAGCAACTTATCTGGGCCCCATGAAACTCCATTGAGGATGAATTTTGGATGAGTTTCTCAAAATATCCAACAGCGGTCAGAACCTGATGAAGGCCTACAAATCCTTTAAGTCAAAAATGAAGAATCTGGAAACTGATATGCCCTTAAAGCATATGACACCCAGTTAAATTGCATGGCATATACTCCAGAAATGGCCATGGGAAACACCCCCGCTCTTTCTTCTCTCCATCTGCCCCAGCTGCTTGTGTTGGAATATTTTATGGAATATTTTAGGCCGCCACATGGATTGTACATATAAGTTCCATAATATAATGGCTCGGTATTCCGGTGTAGACTATTAGCGTAGTAGCTTAAGCCAAGATACAAAAGCAGAAGTTAACTGAGGGTTTTTTTAACCATGACAATATTGGGCCACAGAACATCATCTTTTTCATGGTTTTGCAACTAATCATTCTAACATGACATAAAAAACCTTCTTAAATGCCTGCTTTGTGAAGAAATGTAGCTAAGTGCAAGATAATATTTCTTCCTTGTAAGTCGTATTAATAAATGAGCGTAGCAGTTACTGTAAGTGGTCCAAACCACTCCACTTACATTGGCTCCTTTGCAACTAAGCTTTTATACCAAGTCTACTCTAAGAATTCTGTGATGTGGATTCTGCTCTCACTCACAACAGGGTACCTAAGGACAGACTGTAGCTCACAACTCGGCATGCCAGAACTCCTCCTTTTTTCTTTTTTTTTCCATGTCAGTGCACGATGGCGGAGGGAAATCAGGAGTTTCCCTATATGCTTGTTTCTATTTTGTTTGATGCATGTAAAAGATGAGTAGAATTGTGGATCTTTCTGTGATGGGAGCATAGGGGTTGCTTCCTCAGTTCTCTCCATGGGGTTTCCAATGAGTCAAAAAAGAAAAGAACGAGCAAGAGAACTTTTCTTCTGCCCAGCAGAAGATGCAGGATATATGAGAAGGATTAGGCCTCATCTAGACTATTAGTTCTGCCGACACTCAGAGAAGAGTAAGACCCTCATTTTCCAGTCTTTTCTGTGACAGCTCCAAAAATCAGTTGTATTTTCTGTGTATGTGGTCCTTCACAGCTAAAGCAATGTTACATGTCAGTCTGGTGTGAAATATAGATGTTCTCTGTAAGGAAGTTAGCATGAAATTAGTCAAACTAAATCAGACCAAAGGTGCATAGAAATTTGTGTAGGATTGCATCGCATTCATGAGTCTTGTTCTACTTGTAGGTCTGCAGGCAGCTAGTGAGCAACTCATTTTTTGCAATTAAAGAGATACTTCAGCAAGGTATATGGGAGACATTGGAAATTAGCCACTGATAGTTTCCAGTAGTGAATACCTAGCAAAGAGTAGAAAACTAAGGAAAGCAAATAGTGATGTTTCTGCAGAACACTTAGCCAGCATTTGGTAAACTTCCTGAACGTGTCTTTACATTTAATAGCTCTATAATGTGATGTTATTTCTGAGATTCTGATTCCTTGTTTTTGAATATTTGAAAAGCTTAGCATCCACAAAACCTGGCAGCAAAGAGTTCCACAGCTTAATTACTGAGAAGTGAGAAGAATAGCCTCCTTCTGTTTGCCTTCATCCATCTGCTAGCTGCATTTCACACCACCTTTCTTTTCATTACCATAGTATCCTAAAAATATGCAGATACACTGCATGTTGCTTTTGATTAGGCTATCTGTGTCTCTTGCTTTGATGTGGGTCAATGTATTTGCCACTCAGAGATTATGCATGTTCAATACTTAACTACCACCGCAGAAGACTAACCTATTTGCCAAGCCATACATTCATCTGTATGCATTTATTCTTTCACAGATCTCTTTTCTTTCATTGCAAGAACAGTTACCTCAAGATTAGATTTAATCAGAAGAGGGCAGTGTTTCATTAATTTTGACAAATAGTTTCCCAACTTTTACTATGCTTTGAGTGGTTCAGCTTGTGGGGCCTGAGAACATTCTCTGATTCTGGTTTGTTCTTCTGCCCCGCATGCCGTTTAACTTCCGAAGTATGATATAAGCAGTCTTACAAGTAATTAACACATTTTTCTTTCAGTTAATTAAAAAATAATAACTTTAACTACAACACCTCGTATTCAAAAAGGTAACATCCTTGGGGAATTTTACTAAAGCACAGGCAGTTACCACATGCAGTTAAAATAAACTGCTTAACTGTATGCGTAGAAATGCATCTCATTTATAAACCTTCCATTTCTAGGTCTGCAAAATGTCTCAGCTGATAGCTGGTGACCTACTGATTTTTTGCAAGTAAATGAGCAAAGGTAAGTATCAGAATGTTGTAGAATATTGTGAAATCCTGGAACTGTCTCTTCCAATATGTTTGCAGCTAGAGTGACTGCGAGTGGAAAATTGAAATGTGGCCCTGGACCCTGAAATAGTGTATGTATGTATTGTGTGTAGATATGTGAAAATATGCACAGTTCTGTGTCTATTTGGAGCTGCACTGGTTCAAAGGGCACATTAGTCACATATGTATGTCTACTTCCAAGGAAAAAGACACTATTTCTGAAAGCATTAATTTGGGTGTTAGGGTGAAATTGTGGGGGTTTTGGTTGTGTACTGTAATTGTTATTGTTATATCAAACTACATTTCTGGAATTTACCCATCACTGCAAGAAACACATTTGTTTGACTGGCTGTTTTTGCTAGTCTTCTAAGTTTTGTGAGTTTAGTTTTCAGCTAAGAACTGCAGAATTGCGAACGCCCACAATGGATCTATACCCTTTAAATCACAACATATTTAAACATTGATGTAGTAATGTTGTGAGATCATTAGAGAAAGCACTTGAACACAATGCCAGATCTGTAGGAGGGGATAGTATCCTGATACCCATTCTGAATCTCACAATATAGAAAAGTCTCGCAAGACAAGCTCTGAAAGTGCATGAAGTAGGGTATTTCTGTGCTATTTATCCATTTATTTCCAGAGTCTGGATGGCATTGCTTTCTTTTTAAAGCAATAGAGCACTTTCAAAGGAGTAGCAAGACAGCCTCCATATTCAGTATTTTCTTCCATCTTTACATTTTTAATAGCTCCAGCTGAGAAAAATGACACACTATTTAAAGCAAAAACATGTACAGAGTTAGCTGAGAGCAAGTTAAAAACATAAATGTAAGTTAAAGAAGTATCTCAGTAAACATTGAAGTGTACACCCTTGGTTTCATCATCATACCTGA